CATTTGCTTATAAACTATATTACAAATTAGTAGTATGTACTAAATTGTTAAATTTAAATAAGAGGCATAAAGCAATATTTAAAATATACATAGCAAGAGAGGCACAATAAAATTTATTTATGTCCGATTTTCTAATTAAAGCATCAACTCTTAAATATAACTACTCAATTACAAATGAAATCTTGCATACAAACACAATCGCTCACCATATAGAGATTAGGCAGTAAGTGATGGGACATTGTAATTTTAAGTATATACTGGAAAATCGCTTATATTTGCTCATTTAATTTTGAAGCAACGACTAAAGCATTCACTGGGTTTATGTGTTTCTCTTCACTCCCCAAAGAACTGGGGGTAATTACAGATACAAAAATTTCCTTTAGCTATAAGCGATGTCTAAGTACGTCTAGATAAATTAATGCATATTCAATGTTTTTAAGAATATTTTATCAGTACATACATATCTGTAAGTATGTAAGCATACATATTTAATTTTTGGATCTAAGTTTTTTAATATCTTTGTTCGCTTTTTTTTATTAAATTTATTTTTTTTTTTAGTTTGTAAGACACTAAGATAACGAAGCAATATTCGTTTAGGTAGTTTTTAAGAGCGGTGACCACTCTGGAAAGAATGCCAGTGTTAAGGTCTGATTATGGCAATTTAACGTAACTTAGAGGCTATCACTTAAAAATTCTCTTAAATGGATGTTGCTTATATTTGGACAGGCGAAACTCAAAGTAGCTTAAAGCAACGTCGACGAAGTCTGTTACATCTTGATTTTCTAAGCTCTAAGTTACGTTGAGTTATGTTAGGTTGCCATAATCTGACCTTTAAATGTTTATTTTAAGGCTATGCAAAGTTGAAGGGATAATCTTTTATTTTTGAAGATGTTTGCTCCCAATTTTAGAAATTATTCATTATTTTTTTATGTGTATATGTATTTCAGCTAGGGACAGAGAGAGCTTTTACTCAGCAAGCATCGAAACAAAATGTATAGAATGCTTAAAAGTGCTTTGCCCGCGTGCAAGGCGGAGTACCCACCGCCGGTGTATTTTCACCAGTGATGCGCCCGTGGGCGGAACTATTCAAAGCTCTCTGTAGATTTTATATGGACGCGCACAGAGTGAAATCTCTCTCTGAGCATCACTGATTTACACCCACACACAGTTTTCACAGTTTTTTCTTCAATAACCGAGCTTTTATTTCCAATTGTAGGCATCAGAGTAGCTTCGTTTTATAGCCTATTTCCAACAAACGCCTAACTGCAGTTAAAGGCCGGTGGTTCAATGTCTGGTTACATAAATCGGAGGTAGAAGCTCCGGTTGAATACAGCGACTGCTCGATCACATGTTATATGCATGATGTCGAAATCGTCGATAATGATGTTTAACTGGGAGGTAGTGATAACCAGACATTGAACAACCGGCCTTAGGAGCTCAGATAGTTAAGATACAGTAATTTTAAAAGAGGTGATTGGCGAGGTTTATTTCTTAATTTTTTCTTTTTTCCTTTCGTTTGTTCTTGTAGTAGCCATCTCGTCTATGCGATAAAGCACGAAAAATATGCTTGTATTTTTGATACACTTGGATGATTTTCCATGACGCACGAATTGCCCAGTTTCGACACTATTCTCAATTTCCGCTATAAATGCGATACGATTTCAACTTGGCCATACAAAAACCTGTCACCCAAAATTGCGAATAAATCTGAATTTCAGTGAAATTGAAATGAAATTGCCCCAGATTCGCCTATTTTAGGGTTGTGTTCTGGATTATTGTGAAAGACAGATGAAACAAACGTCAATAAAACAAAAAAAAAAAAAACAAATCAAAACTAAACAAAAACAACTAAATAAAAAAACCGAGATTGTCGTGTAAATGGCTATAATTTTAAACTGAAATTGAGAGTTCAACAAATAAACGCTTTCATGAAAATTATTTTCAATAGGGGGTTTCAGAAAAATCAAAACTTTTTATTAAAAGTTTATACTTCTAGCTTCTATACCATATTGTATGAATTTGTTGTTAATTCTGAAAATGAAATGAAAATTAAAATTTTTCCATATCTGGCAATTGGTTTATCGTTGTAGCGGAAAATTTTATGCGGTGCAGTCATGATTATTGGTACTAAATAGTGAACTTAAGAATTACATGATTTTTTTGCCTCAAACTAATTCTTTCTTTGTGTTAGAGCCAATATGACTTTTTAAGTGAATAAAAAAATGAGAAAATTTTTCATGTGGTTTGATAAAAAAATCCGAATAAAAACAAAGTAGCAAAATAATATTTAACACCATTATTTAAAATTAATCGTTCTTCCAACATGAAGCTTCTCCTGCCTACAAGTATAATTATAAACCTGATTTTTGAAGGAAAATATGTGCCTATTCAACTGAAGCTGGGTGTATAAGGAGATATCTATAGAGGAAATTGTATGTATTATATATAAACATATGTATATAAATATGTATTTAAAATCAAACATATGTAGCAAAATACACACTCAATTCATAATTATTTATACCTTTCAAAATTCACTGGCATTCTTCAAATAAAAAAAAAATAAAAAAATCAACCACGTAAGCAAGTATGTATGTATGTACGTATACATAGCTGCATATGTGTTATAGACCTACTTATTAACTAAATACGCCTAAAACTATCAGGTACAGTGGCATTGAAATGCGAACGCTTAACATAAACTTAAAGGGCTATTAATTGTTTAAGCAAAAACATCTACAATGTACATCTGCATACATATAGAATACTAACTCTTATTTCTTGTATCAGTTTTTCTGTTTTTTCTATTCCTATACTATACATATGTATGCTGCAGTTGTTAGCAAAAATTTTGACAATTCGAAGTAGGACCTTGCTTGTGGATTTTTTGTAATTTTTTCTATGCAGCTACCATGAGCTATCTGCTCATGCATAAACGTAGGTTGTTACTTGAAATTTTCTATTAATGCTAATAAATTGTAATTGTAAATTGTAGGCTTGTATACTCAGTTTTTTTTTTTGTATGCAAAAAGTAGCATTCAAGGACTCGGATTTTATTCTGTTCTAAATAGTATTCTTTTTTATTTTTCATTTTGTTTTCGCTATAATTCATTAAGTCTTCAACGGCGCTGAGTTCTATTTAAAATACAAAAATTAAAGCGAATCTTTAGAGAAAAATATTTCAAAAGTATTTTCGAGTTAAGAGAAATGCATTTTATGGAATATACGATTATATTTGTATTTTTCTTTTGTTTTTTTTAATTCATTAAGCGGTTCTCGGAATTCTCTTCGTTTTTTCGTGCAAATTTAATAAATGCTACAGATTGCTATGCTCTGCCGCATTCGAACTATTACAGCTTTTCTGTTGAAATATTCAGTATTTTCCCATTAAATTCATTGGCCATTAGTATTTTCCGATTTTAAGGCTTTATATGGACTTCTATTTATATGTAGGCAACAAAAAATAAATAAATATAACAAAATGTTCAGTTAAAAGCGATTTAAATCTTAGATTTTACAAATGCTCGCACGCATCATATCGAAACAAAATCGTACTACATCGCACTTACATACATACATACATATGTATGTTACTAAGTAGTTGGAATCTGAAGAATCAATTTAAAAAGCAAAAATCTAAATTAGGATTTTGTTGAAAAAGCAAGTATTAATGAAAAATGTTTTGTATACTAAATGTATATGCGATCATAGATATATTTAAATATTCACGTTAAGGAGCAACACGCTGCTTACAAAAAAAAAAATTGGTACTGATTTTCCATCAGAATTATAAAATCTGAGCTGGACTGATTTGAATATACCTCCAAAAATCAAGTTTTTTATTAATAAAAAAAATACTTTCTAAAAATGTTTTTCTCCAAAAAACATCTCATGATGGAAAATTTTAAGCTTAAAAGGTATGCTTAAAAATATTTATAAATTTTATTAACGAAATCAAAACATCTAATTAGATTTTTAGAGGTATTTTCAAATCGGTCCAGCTCTCATAAATCTTAACATTTTATCGAAATATTTTCTTGGAAGTTTTAAAATATTATAAATTTTATAATTCCATCGGAAATACATATACATATGTATATGAATGTGTGTACGTATATGCTGGTATATATAAATATTTTTGAAACTAGTTAGAAATCGTATACCAGAGACGCAGGTCGAATTGCATTGAATTTTAAGGCTCGAGCAATGGGTTGTGCGCTAAGCATAGAGCCCGCCACGTAAAAAAAAAAGTATTTATAGCGAATAGACCAAAATAGAATGGCGATCAGGAGGCGCGTTTGACAAAGAAGAATCCAGAGAAATGTATAAGGACGAGGCTAACGTTTCTACAGTTAAAATAATGCCCCTTAAAATATGAAATTTAAGTTTAGTTTATCTGCTGCTGTTTTTCCTAACAACGGACGCCCGTCGGCAGGCAGTAGCAACCCTCCGAGTGTATTTCTGCATGAAAAAGCCCCTCATCAAATCCATTTGCCGTTTGTGTAACAGCATCAACGGGCACAAATAATTAGCAAAAGTGTAAGCGCCAAAATATTATATTTTCTTTTGTATTGGGTAAGGCTTCCTCAAGTGGGCCTCGAATTTACCAAGATTAATATTTTTCAATGATATTCAGGCAGCATCGAGTTTTGTAGTCGAAAAGTACACTGTGTAAATTTTGTTGCAAGATTCCAAATAGTTTTTTTTAATCAAAAATTGAAAATTTTTGCAGTGTTTTGAAAATTTTTATTTTTCTTTGAAAGTAAGTGCCCTAATGAAACAATTTTTTTGGGTGCAGACTAAAAAAACATTAAACTATACAATAAAATTATTTGCGTTACAAAAATATTTTTGTGTTTTGTAGTGGAAAAGTACACTGTGTAAATTTTGTTGCGAAATTCTGTTTAGGAAATTTTTATTTTGGTTTAAATGTAAGTGTCCGAATGAAAAAAATTGTTTTTGGTTGCAGAATTAAGAAACATTAAACTATACAATGAAATGATTTCCGTTACAAAAATATTGTTTTTTTGCTTTTCAATCATGTTTTTATGAACAATTGAATATTTCAACAACTTCTGCGCCTCGTGGACGAAAATTTTTAACAACAACTCATAAAATAAACATTTATGCATTCTGTACCAGAGGTTAGGCTGGCTGCAGCATAAAAGAACTCATTAGACCCCTTTTAGTAGGCAGACTTGGTCTAGCACTCAACACCTTGACTTGGGCATCTGATCTTGGTTCTGGTTAGATATTCCTGACAATGATTTTCATGTCATCACCAGGACAAGCTCTGGCAAGCGACTGCGATACATAACATTTTTAATGTGAATATAATCCCAATTTAGGACTGCACTATAGTTCAGATAAGGACCTTCAAAATAAAGCGAAAAAGGAGCTATTTAGATTTACAAGAAAGGGCCTGTTCAGAACAATGCATTCGTGGCAAGCTAAAGTTTCAGGATAGACTTGGTTCAGAAATGTAGGAAAGGGCATATAAAGAATTTGTTCAAAGGAACTGTATAGGAATTCTGATTAGTAATTCGACAGTTCATTAGACGGAAGCTCTCCAGAATCACTGGACCGTGGCTGCTTAGAGCGTGCGTTGCCTTTGTGTCTAGCACCTCGATAGCTTTCCTTTTCGGAAGGAAGCACATCTGAACAGGCCTGTCCAAAATCGAGATTTATTTCCTGCCGAGATTAATTGAATAAAATTCGAATGTTTTATAATTTTTATTTTTTTAATTCAATGCATCCGTATCAGCCAAAAAACGCCACGTATCTGCCGCCTGACAGGCACAAGAATTCGTTACAGCTTTAGCGCAGCTACTTTTCTTTCTGCTTTGGTATCCAAAAAAGTTTCAGCGTTGTACGCGTAAATGCCTATTTGATGTTCAACAAACCACCCGCTACACATCGCCATAGCCCTCTGCCCCTTTCAACTTCTACCTTCAATTCCAATTCGTATTCACAAAGTTTTCAACAAACTTTATGCAAGAATTTATGCAGGTATTCGTTGGAAATTTCACAAAAATATCTACTTAAAAATGTACATGGTCGTACTACTTTTCTGCATATTTTTGTGTATGTAAATTCTCATACATACATACAGACACATTATCTGAAAAACATCAAACGATTTGCTAGCTGCTGTAGTCAAGGGATTAAATTGAAATTTCTCTTCTAACAACGACATATGTACTACCAAATTCAACGAGGGATTTAGTTTAAGAGCATTTTAACCTTGTATTAGACAGTCTGATGCAGGCAGAGCAGTGATGGCTAGAGAGATTGCTAGAGTTATGTTTATTTAATTGCAGGAAAATGCGATGAGGCAAATTTCAAGTGCATGGCAATTTGGTAGAAAGGCAGCGCAAATGCGGGCAGATTCATACGTAACATAAAAATTTATGTACTTTGGAAATATTTATTTTCTTTTTCATAGAAGAAAAGAAAAGTATGGTATGTATACCATACTTCGCACTTTAAGCACGCAAATACTTTTGTATATTTATGCAAAGGGTAGCTAATTTTCGGAAAAAATTTTAAAATAGCTTTGAACTACTTCCAGAATCGGAAAAACTTAGCACACACTTGAAGGCTTGTTATCGTTACATTTGCACATTATTCTGGCTTAAACCAACTTAAATCCTTTGAGACATTAAATGCATATTTTCTAAATTCCATATATATAAACAGCATAGGCTGTTCAAAATACAAATGCATACATACGTACATAAAACATCTTAACATAAGCTTGAAATACCCCAACCCTTACCTGGCTCTCCAGCGGGTATGCCGTCGGCCAACGCGTCTGATTAAACGAAGTTGAATGCTCTTGAGATCAGTCTTTGAATTCTACGCGACTATTTATGCATTTACACCATCATCATCGTCATCATCTCCTCGCTAAATTACATTTTTCACCTCCTAAACCGCAGTGGGTGGCGGCAGCAGCGACGAGTTCGACGATCTTAAGTAGGGATTGCCATAAATGGCGCTATAACGTGGATCCACACTCATCGCCACCGAACTGGAGATGACATGCGTCGCTGTGCTCTGATTACTACAACTTCCGTTCGGCGACGAACTAACCACGGAGGCTGTGGTCGATTGTAAACTTGGCAAGCCATTATCCTGCCGTATTTCACGTGAACCGACAATACTACTCGTTAGACTGCCACTCGCACTGCCGTTCGATAGGTAAGTCATTGGCACAGATTGTGGTGGTGGTGTTTGTTGTTGGTGATGTTGATGTTGTAGACTTTGTTGCATATGTTGTTGTTGTATGTGATTGTGATGATTATTTTGGAGTATTGTTGAACTGCCATTCGATTTGGTGGAGCAAGTGGTGAGATATTGTGGTGGCGGACTGTAGTGTGTGGAGTAATCGCCGTAGGGTACATAGCCACCGGAGATGTCCACTTTGAGGTCACTGTAGTTGGAAGTACGATCGCCAGCCTCCATTTTACAAGCTACGCCACCATTTTTACTGATCTGATGTTCGCTAATTACATCGGCTGGTGGAAGTTTGGTGCGTTTCTTACACTTAAAATAGACAATGATGATTATGATGAGCACCATGGCACAGCCAACGACAGAAGTGCCACCAATGATGATCATCATGGGCGAGATGGCTTCTGATGAATTAGAAAAAGAGAGGGGAAAAAGAAGAAAAAAAATATAAGAAGTACCAATTAAAATTATTTTTAAAGAATATACCGAGCCCTAATCGCCAAAATAACGTAAGCGATATTTTTTTTTTTTTTTTTCTTTTTGATGCAGAAATGCATCTAGATGCCCTGGGCATATTTCTGCATTAAAATTAAAATTTTGAAAAAAAATGTCGCTTACGTTATTTTGGCGGTTAAGGCTCGATATGTACAATAAGTGCGTTTAAATTCCAACGATATAAAATCGATTTCAATCTTCAACCGCTTTTTCATATCCAATTTAAATTCCCACACGTGTCATTCACTCACGTATTTGCGCAGTTACAGGTGCTTCATGTTTACACATATTTAAATATATATTTAAAGCGCACAAGCATTGATATGTATGTATAGATATATGTGTGTACATAAGAGCACGTGAATACTCACTTTGCGCCTGCAAATTGATTTCCAACACATCGTTGCCATAATCATTCACCACAGTGCAATTGTATTTGCCATAATGATACGCTCGACTGTCACGAATGATCAGTGTCGACTTCACACCACCTGGCACCGGATCAACCAATATTGAATAGTCGTGTCCATATTCAGCGCTGATTTCATGACCATTAAATGTCCAAGAGACGTGACGTGCACGTGGCACTGAAGTGGCCGAACATTCAATGCGCGCCGTATCGCCCACCCAACTAAATTGATAGGGTGATGAGTAAATAGTGGGCGAGCCCTTCAGGTAGACGTATGCGTCGCTAATGATTTCTTTATAGCCTGGCACGTTGGCCTTGCAATAATAACGTCCGGCTGTCTCGTTACTAACGGTAAAGGTGAGATTGGAATTGATGCCAACAACCTGGAAGAGAAAATGATAAGTAATAAATTAGGGGCAAAATGTGATTTATGCTTTCTTTTTAATAATATTATAAATCTTTAATATACTTGTAGCTAAGTCGATTGCATGCGTGAGGTTGGTAAACTTTAGACTAGAAAGTTTTTTCACTCATATTTTGGAAGTTGAGCAAAATTGTTTGGGGTATTTGCGGTATAGTATAAGGGAACAGTATCTATTGAGACTGTTGCTGTGACTGCAAAATAAGGCGAGTATAAAAGTATTTTTTCTATTTTCCAAACAACATTTTTTTTTCGAAATAATGGCGCTGAGTGTGCTCTGCCATGATAACCATTCGACTTTCGGAGGCAAAGTAAAACTGTAGAGCCCCTTCCCTTTGTGTGACAACATCAAGGGGCACACAACAAATTGAAGGAGAACATCGGCCAAGCACAAGCAAATGTGTAAGCGCAAAATATTTATTTCTATTCCGTATTAAAAGTCACAGAAAGAGTTGTTATTCTACGAGGTATTCTTTGGTTTGGTTAAAATTTTATACATATGGGTCATTCCATACAATATTTACACCTCAATATATATTTGGGGTGAAATATATTTTTTTACATTCTTTATCGAAAAAAAAGAAGACACGAATTTTTTTTTTCGTCATGACATTCTAAAATCTCGAAAAAAAATCCCGAAATTTTGAATTCACGGAGAAGTATATTTTTCCGATTGTTTGCAGTTAATAAACTATTTATCGGAAAAAATCAGTTAGGGTATCAAAATGTGCGTAATTACCTCGGCTTTCCATGAGAGTGTGAGATAGATTAAAATAAAAAGATGTTTGCAATGAAAATTGATTTTTATTTATTTTTTATTTATTTTTATTAACTATATCTACCATGTTCGATTTTTATTTTATTTTTTTTTATGTGCGTAATTCAGTTTGGAAAAAAATAAAAAGCGAACTTGGTATAGTTAATAAAAAAAATATTAAAAAAATGCAAATTTTTGAATGTAAAATCTTTTTTTATTTTGATCTATCTCACACTCTCATTTTGGTACCTTATCTCATTTTCTCTAACAAATAGTTTATTAACTGCAAACAATTGAAAAAAGATACTTCTCCGTGAGTTCAAAATTTCCGGAATTTTTTTTTTGAGATTTTCGAATATCATGCCGAAATAAAAAAATTGGTGTCTTCTTCCAAATATTATATCTGAATTTATGTAATTTAACCTATAAACTGAAGATAGTGTTTTTTTTCGGTTGGACTTACCCTATCACTGGGATGTTGTATCCATACAATATCTGGCGTGGGATTGCCGTCCACCTCGCAACCTAGTGTCACCAAAGTGCCTGAGTCTGCTTCGATAGATTGTGGACGCTGACGAAAGCTGGGAGCATCTGTTGAAAAAAAACCAAATTCAAAAAATGTGGAAGAACGTCTGGGGTTTAGTGGTAAAAGCCGCGTAAGTTAAGTATTGTGATGATTAAATATGGTTATACATAGTACGATTAGGCTAGCAACCCGAGTTTAAAATTATGGAACTCAGAAGTTTTCGTTTTGGAATCATTTGATGGCATCGGACGTGGTGTCACCATTCATATACTAATTTATCCATACCTATGTATGTATGTATATCGAAATTTCATCGATACATTCGACATCGCTTTCAATGCTGTTAAAAATCTTTCAAAGTTGATTTAAGTATATTCATTAATCGATATCATTGCCACATATGAATCGATAAATCTATCGATATTTATCACGTGTTTTCGTCTCGAATAAATCTTTCCGTTTCGCCCACGATGTCGATGTCAATATATTCATTTACCAATGTTGTTTTTATAAATCTTTCAATGTTGATATAAATATATTAACAAATCGATACCATTACCACAATGTAATCGACAAATCTATCGATGTTTATCTCGAGGTTTTATCAAAATTATGTAGCGATATGATATTTTTCGGATATGTGCATTTTAAACATCCCTTTAGTTTGCTGTGGAATTACCTTCATATCAAACTTCAAAACAAAATTTAAAAATTTTAGAAATATTGGGATTGTTAGTTCATTCCTGTTCGTACATACATATGTTAATTTTATAAAGAGAAATTTGTCAAATTTAGAATTTGTCAAATAAAGCCTTTTGCAATGACGCTGACATAAAGGCGGGAAGAATTTTGGTGTCATTGGCTGTTTTTAGTTTTATAAAAATGCCCGCGAATTAAGCTTTCGAAGTAGTGGGATGGCGGGTTATTATACACTTTTTGCTTTTGTATGCGGTCGGAAAAATTCTAATAAATGCCAATTTTTAAATTCAAAAATTTTTTATCATCATGTTATTTTAAAAAAAAAAATATATATATATATCTAGTTTAAATATTTGGGATAGTAGATGTTTTTAAGAAACTTTCTTCTTATATATGTATGTATATTTGTTAATTTACTTACAGCTTATATCCAGCGTTTCACTATCTTCACTCCTTCCCACTGTATTCTGTACTTCACATTTGACGATGGCATCATGGAACTTTCGGGTGACGTTGCGAATGACCTAGGGGAAAAAGTAGATTTTATGAAATACGTATCTAAAAATTACAAAAAAATACGTACATATTTAAGTACCATAAAATTAAAAATCGAATGAAAATTATTTAAAAAAATTAAAACTGCTTTACAATTTTAATAAATAACCCAATATAATTATTTTCCTTGTAAACAAACATTAAAGCAAGAAAGTAGCAAATCCCATACTAACGAGATCGAAGAAACAGTTTTTTAAATTATATGTCAACCGAAACTATATTTTCATTATTAAATTTTTTATCCTCTCTTTATGTATTTACTAGTACATACATTCGCATTTGGCCCGAGTCCATCGAACACACGGGGCGTATGAGTAACATTTAATTTTGTTCGCATAAAATTGCCTCTTTATTCTTGTATGTACGTACGTACAGCAGCAAAAAAACGACTCTGCCAGTAGCTAAAATAAATGGCAAATTAATGCCAGTGTTTAATTTCAGCAGCGCTGACTCCGCTTCGCTCTGCACTCCCAGCTTGTGCATAGCCATTTAAGTGCACCACAACTGCGATTATGTCTGCGTGTTGCAGCATTTCATTGGCGGTGATTAAAAATACGCAAATATGTAGTCATAAATATAAAGCATGCAGCACTGTAAATGAAAGTCACAACAGATTTACCAATCACTTAAAGACCAACGCGCACAACGATCGTGGCGTACAACTCCATTTAGCCGGTTTATACTACCCTGCTAGGCATGCTATGTAGTTACATAAGTATGTATGTTATTCACCTCCGATTCAGCTGCATTTAGTTGAATTCAGCGCCTTCTAAACGTCAGGTCATAATAAATTACGAGAACTAACAGCCAGTTTTGACCAACAAACGCACAGATACTATGTATATATACATAAATACATTGACTCAAACAAGCGACCACGTATTGATTTCTTATTAAATATTGGAATTCTTTTTTATTAAAATACAGCCCAAGCTTTAACTAAATCGATATAAATCACAGTTTCAGACCTTATAAAAAATTTAGGAAAATTTAGTAAACGCAGTTTTTTAGCCCATATAGTTTTATGGCCTTATTCATAAAAAATAAAATAGATTTGAAGAGCTTTATAAATTGAAGTTTTCATAAGTTTTTCAATTTATAAACCCTTTGAAAAGCTACTTTATTTTTATGAATAAGGCTATTAGTCTAAAGCAATGCAAGTTTCAAACGCCTAAGAAATACCATTGATGTTTGAGATTTTTTTTATGTGACTTATTTTTGCACTTTTTCCATATAAGCATGAATTTGTTATGAAATAAAATGTGGTTAGCAACAAAATTTCAAAAAGTCAACGCCAGTTTTTGTAAATTGCACTTGTTATATAAAAAACCTCACAAGCAGTCTCAAAACTCAACGCGATTTTTTAACGGATTGAAGCTTGCACTTCATCTGCATATCCAAAAATCTGCTAAAGACACAGATTTAAAATTTGAAATTTCGACGAAAATTTGTTGCAAATTTTAAAAAAAAATTGTTTGAAACTGTGGTTTGTATGTTTTTGGTTAAAGCTTGGACGGTATATACAAAAATTCCAAAAAAAAAATATTACCTCGAAAAATATTACGAATATTAAAAAAAAAGAATCAACAATTTCAATTTAGAAAAAATATATATATTTTTTGTCAAGTATTTCGCATTTACAGTCTGATCTTAAAGCCGCGCTGTTAAATTTCCATTACGATCAGTAATTATCATTTTTTTTTTGCATTGTTTAATTTTAATGATTATTTTAAATTTCTTACATAACCCATAATAATTAATTATAATTGAAAATTATCATGATTAATTGTCATTAAAAAACGAATAGAAATTAATCAAATAATTAGAAATAATCAAAATTAATCAAATTGTTTTTTTTTTAGTTTTTTGATTATTTTGAATTGTTTGATTATTTTTAAATGTTTGATTATTTTTGATTATTTGATTTTTTTTCAATTATTTGATTATCTTCAATTATGTGAATATTTCTCATTATATGATTATTTTTCGTTATTTTTTCAAATAGATGAAGCTTTGTTTGGCAGGCAAATTTTTATAAGTTAACATTAAATAACTGAAACCAAAGTCACTGTACGAGTAAATGCTTCTACTGTAGTTTACAAGCAAGAAATGATTTCTTATAGGCATTGTCAACTGTCTTTGCTATTCATTAATATTGTTAGAAAGAACTTTTTATAGAAAACGCCTTCAATCAAAAATTAGCAGAAATCAAAGTAGTTCTCAGGTTTTTGAAATTTGCGCTTTGCCTTACGACAATTCTATGGTCTAGCAAACTGCAACCTTCAAATGTTTCAAACAAATCTTATTACGAAGTGGACTATGTACAATGGTGGAAAAATAAACAGGGACACTACATTTTAACAAATTTTTCCTAGTTTTCTTTCGTTTATTTAATATTTATTATTTTTTTATAAAAGTAAAGCTCATTATCTCACAAAAACCAGATAAATTCATATTTAAAACTTTGTGCAAAAATTATAAAAATTCTGCAAATTTCCATCTAGATTTTAAACGTTTGAATCAGATTTTTTAGAATTTTTTTGAGTATGCAGTTTTATAGCCCATTAAATTTTAGTGCAAGTTTGAAGTTCCTAAAAAATCGCGTAGATTTTTAGTAATTTTTATTATGAATATATTACGCACTTTTTTCCATACAAAAAAAAATTTCGAACATACTATGTATGGAAGAAAATGCGTTTAAAAAATTGCCAAAAATCAACCCTATTTTTTTAGCAACTTAAAACATACACTTCATTCTTCTAAAACTTAACGGGCTATAAAACTAGATACTCAAAATATTAAAAAAATTTGATTAAAAAGTTGAAAATTTATTTGCAATTTTGCAGAATTCTTATAATTTTTTTACAAAGTTTGGAGTATGAATTTATATGGTTTTTGTTAGAGAATGAGCTATAATTTTATAAACAAAAAATAATAAATATTAAATAAACGGAAAAAACAGGCAAAATTTAAAAAAAAATATCGTGTCCAAATTTATTTTTCCACCACTGTATGTATATTGACGAAAGTGTTGAATTTTCCAAAGTTTTACACAAAATTTGGAACTCTGATGTATGCATAGTATGCGGTTTTGTTGTAGTATGGACAATTATGTGATAAAAAATTAGCAAATAAAATTACAAAGCCACCCGTGTTGTTTTATTGCATTTTTTTTTGCGTTTTGTTATTTTTCTTATGCATTTATCTTATGATACTGTATTTATTCTACTCATATGTATATTAACTGCGTTGGAATGTATTATTCACAAGTTGACATATATAATAAAATTGAAAACAAAAACTAAAAATAATTGAACATAATCAAATAATTGTATTAATCGTGTAATTAAAAAATAATAATTATAATGAAAATAATAAAATAATTATATTAATCGCGTAATTAAAAAAAAAATCAAAAATAATTTCAAATTATCAAATAATTATATTATTCACGTAATTAGAAAATTGCAAAAATAAATGAAAGTAATCAAAAATAACAAAATAATCATGTAATTAAAATAAATCAATTAGTTATTTTTTTTATTTGAAAATAATTAATTACTATTCATTAAAAAGGTGCAAGTAATGGTATTTAATCATTATGATTATTAATCATTATTTAACAGGTCTGTCCTAAAGTATGATATACCAATGTTCTTGTCGTGGGGAGATACTTTATTTTTGTTTAAAAGTTCACTGACCTGAAATATTCCGTTCTGGTACTTACCCACTAGATCCCAGTTCTTACTACCCTAATGCCAGTAAATTCTAGCTCTCCAAAAATCATTAAACTTTTGTTATACTATATACATAAGTACTTTTTGAAGAAGAACACATTTTTTTGAAATCGTCTTGCAAAAAAATTTAGACTCAGGGGTGTAAGATGCATTTTATTTTTTGTTTGCTTGTAAGTTGGTGCAGTCTAATGCAAATATATTCTTATGCAATCGGGAAGTCGACTGTGTCTGTGGAGCGATTTCTAGCAGCTGCTGATCAACTGGTTGCTAGTGGAGTGGCAAATAGGAGTCGGAGGCTATTTAGCTATTTATTAGTTGCAAGGAGAGCAACGTAGGATAAGCGAAGTGGAATGGTACGAGCATCTGCAGCAGGTTATGGGTGGTACTAGCGGCAGTAGTAAAAATGTGGCATTTGGTGAAACAGATACATACATATTCATTATACATTGCTATATAAAAGCATATTTATATGTAAGCCCGTATTTTTACTAAATTATCGTACAGTTCTGGCTAATGAACGGCTGCTGCAGTACGTATTTCTAATTGACGCAGCTACTGCAGTGATGAAACTAGAATTCCAGTCAGCAAACTGGTTGCTACAAACCAATTGCTGTTTATTGTTGTAGGCAGGTTTTTGTAATGTTGCAGCACTTGCTGCTGATGACGCGTTGAGTGCAGTTAATTTCTACTTAGGCGCCGACGAAATGAGCTGCGATAATCAAAGCGAGTGCGCTGACTGAGATAAAGTAAAAAAAGCAAGAATAACAAAAAATGCAGTTCAGGCAGTACAGCTTCCAATGGCTTGCAATTTGCTATGGCGCACCAACTGATTAGGATCATAGCGGCAAAGACTTCCCTCCGCTCTAAATGCGCATGCTGTAAGAGAGCTGCAGCGGCTATGTATTTAAGCTTGTTACTACTTTCTAACCGCTTGACTGCAAAGAAGTTCTGCACGTTTTACGCTTTCCTCAACACAACGCTTGTGTTGCAACTTCTCGCTTGCAACACGTAACAATCATAGTTGGCGTAATCGTTGTGGCAGCAAAAGATAATATAAAAATAAAAAATCGAAAAGCGCCATTTGCTCTAGATATCACATGTATTGCGACGTGAGTAACCAGCTTTTTAATGCGGCAAGTCTAGTTGTTGCGTTCAATCAAGTAATTGATTGGCCTGTGATATGCGATGTACTAACTATGTATGTATGTATGCACTATGTATGTATAGTGCAACGGTAGTGGCAGCAACACCAACAAATGCCACATTTTCCGGTGCATACACAAACCTCAGCTAGCGGTATGCAAACGTCTGCAACTGCAACTGCCACTCGGCATTAACCTCAAACCAATTCAGTGCGCACGCTCCCATTTACTTTGTGCCGCATTGCGCTATGCCACAACGAGCCGACACCCCTTCTAATGCTGCGCATTCAAATTTATTTCAATTCAATGCATTTGCTATGCACTAATTTTAAGCACTATCTATGTATAGCTTCTATTTCATATACTGTACGTACACATGTATTCAATGCTTTTGTTGTAACTAACTCACCATTTCGGTTTTTTGCCCACCAACAATTGGTTCGTCGTTGATGTACCAACGATAACGCAGATCACTGGGATTGGCATCCGCTTTGCACTCTAATCGCACCTGTGCAAACTCCGGTATACGGCCATCCTCCAACGCACCGCCAATTATGCTCACTTTAACTTTTGGCGCGTATTTTACCTGTAAGAAATGAAAAAATAAAATGAAAATTTAGAAAACTAACATTTAGAAAATTGCTTTGAATACTAATCATTAGCTGTGACAGCAAAGCAAAAGCTCTAATTTAAACTGGTTTTATTCGTGCATATAACCGTATTTGGATGGATTTTTCTTTAGGCGCCAATGTGGCCACCACACAGGTCGCAAAGAGACAATTAACTTTGTGTATGATTAATTTTCACGTTTGATCTACTGCCATGGGCGTTGAAAACTATTTATAATGACCGAACGACATAATAATAATTTTTATGAGTATACATACATTATTATCTAATTGACAGTTTTTAGAAAAGTGGTATGGTGGTGCCTTGTAAAAGTTAGTGATACGGATTTTCATAGCAGTTAAATTCAGAGCTAAGTGCAGAGGGAAAAATATAAATAGGGAAGAGAGATTCTAGCATTTCTATTTCACTTTGCTTTATTTAATTTTTATTATTTCTTTATGAAAGTATAGCTCGTTATCTAACAAAAACTATGCGAATCAAAATTTCAAACTTTGTACAAAAATTGAAAAAATTCGACAAAGTTTCATCACAATTTTGAGTATTTTTATTTTGATTCCTGAGTTTGCAGTTTTGTAGCCCATTCAAGTTTATTATAACTATGTGCAATTTTTTTGGCATTTTTTTTGTGGAAGGTGTTGCTAATTTTTTCCATACAAAAAACCTGTCGACATACTTTGTAAGGAAGAAAATTCGAGAACAAGAAATTGCCAAAAATCAACGGCAAGTCCTAGCTACTTCAAACTTGCACTTTATGATAATAAAATTTAATGACCGAAAAAACTGATTACACAAAACAATTCTAAAAAATCGGATTAAATAGTTTAAAATTTTAATGAATATTTGCTAAAATACGTCGAATTTATATAAATGTTGTACAAAGTTTGAAAATTTGATTTCAAATGTTTTGTCAATATAAAAGGCTTTATTTTCATAAAAAATAATAAACAATTTTTTAACAAGGAAAAATAGCCAAAACTTGCTAAAATGTCTCTTCCCTACTTACATTCTCGCCACCGTATGCTAAGTTGATATGAGTGTGCGCGTCAGTGCTTATTTTTATAAATAAATAATTTAATGTTTGACTTATGGTATGAGTATGGCAACTTAACGTAACTTACAGGCTCTCACTTAAAAGTTATCTTAAATGGAGATTGCTTCTAATTGAACAGCCGAAACTTAATACCACTTCGAATCTGTTTCACTTTGATTTTCTAAGTTCTAAGTTCCGTTAAGTTAAGTTAAGTTGCCATAATCAAGCTTTTAGCCCTGGCGATAACTTCGACGAGGGAAGTCACCGACTTTTTTTTTAGCAAAAAGCGTTTATTCCTCAACTTAATCTCTTTTAGCTTGAAATATTTGGCGCAGGGTTTTTCCTATCAAACACTTCTCTATGGTGGATTAAATTGTGCGGGCAGCTCTGAATAGGAGTTCACTCGGAAGTCACATAGGTCCATTGTGATTCACAGAAGATGGTTCTCCAATTAAAATCCCCTCATGTTTTTTAGCCATACTAACGAATCCTAGCAGACCCCCCTAAGCTGGTTTGCGCAACATTTATTTTTTGCCGTGTACTTTAGGCAAATAAACGTTTTTTTGGCGGATGATTTTCGGCTCCCGAAATATTTTTCTTTACAGAATTTATATTGTCACGATTCATTTAATGTCTGGTTGAGAACTCTATTGGTAAGCTTGTGAGAAGCGGGTTAAAAAAGCACCAAAAGTGCAACCTAATTTTGTCAGTTAGGCAACTCATAATGGCCCCGCCTGTTGACAATCTAGAGACAAAGTCAGCTTTGTCCACCATTTTAGGGAAAGCCTGCACATCCAATATATTTCAATATTTGAACTTGCGGCTATAGCACTTTTTTATTAGCACTTTCTTAAGTCATTCGATTTACGCGATCTGCCAACAAGGGAATCGTGTCGCACTTGCTATGGAGCCTTATACATATTAGACGGTTTGCTTCAGCTACTCTCGGATAAAGAATTTCGCTGCCGATGTAGTGTGGAAGACATAGTCATTACTCTATTGGAAGATGGTTTAATTTTTGCAAATACTAATTTCACTTGGACTCTCAGAAAGCTCGGAATATTTTTTTCGGAATAATTCATTCTTGTTGATGCTGCGTAGGCTCAGATTTCGCGGTCGTTTGAGAGATGCTCTCCGCTCTGGCAACCGCCGGTGCTGCCGTCCTGTTGAGAGTGTCGCGTAGAGAACCTCCTATAACGATAAGATGGCGTGCCACAAAATTGGACAGCGATCGGCGATCTATACAGAGAAATTTGGTGAAAAACTTGAAGATGTTCGCTTACAAAGTGCAGACAACACTCATATATCAGCCGTTGTCCACCAAGATATCCGGAATCTCTACCACTGGAGAAGACAACTTTTCAACGAAAATCATCATGAGCGACGAGGCCTATTGCCACCCCTTTAGAGTTGTGTATAGCAGAATTACTACTACTTCTGGGGCAATGGCCATCGGGCCTTGTTTTCGAAAACGCCGCGAGCTAAACGACTACTGTGTATGGTGAGCGCTACAGAGCCATGCTGGAAGACCTTCACCTTCCTCAATTTGGGCGAATTGGGACTCGATAACATGTGATTCGAACAGGACGGCACAGAGGCCCCTCTTGTATGAGCCTTAAATGGAATTCTGAGAAGTATATTTTTGGGTCGCCTAAACTCTCGGTGGTGGCAAGATCGCCCGATTTAACCGTTACACTTTTCATTTTATGGGGCCTTATAAGTCACGAGTCTATATCAACTATCCTCAGAGCCTCAGACTCTTCAAGCACTCAAAGCAAACACCCGTGAAGAATGCGAGAATCTTATCGGCGGAAGTTCTGGCAAGAATGTTATGCTCATCGCATGGTCATTAGTTCTAGCCGGCTCTCGGCTTAGGACAACAAATAAAATTAATTCAAAAGCAGAACCAAAGTTTTTCATTCATAAAAACTTAGAACTAAAGGAAATTGGGTGAAAAGTATTAACCTGAGTTATTAGAAAACGGGGGTTTTGTGGGTAGAAACAATACTAGACCTAACAAAGTTTTAAACTATGAGAAATATCAGCAAATGCTCCTCACTATGTCACCAAACACTCCACAATAAATATTGTAAACCATCAGCGATTCTCATATATTTATTCCCGAATATGCTTCAAAATCCTAGCTGGGTTTATTCAAACAAAGCTTTGTTTGCATACACAAATCCGTACATACATATCTATGTGCGTATACATATTTTCGCAATCAACTACAGACATACTCGTATGTACTCACTACTCACTACTCACCTCTACACGTATTCTCGCCGACCGATATGTACGATCTGCCGTATTTTGCGCCTGACAAGTGAATGTCGTATTGTGATGCTCCTTTTTCGGTGTCAGCCGCAATATCGATTGGGCGGTGAAGCGACGCTCATCCGGCATCTGCAGCGTAGTGTAGTCAATGTCACTCGTTATAACGTTGCCAAGTCCATCAATCCACGTTATCTGCAAATAAAAGTAAGTACAAAAACAAATAAATAAACAGTAGATATACAGAGGTGAGTGAATGTGTGAGCGAACAAATGAATGAGAATGCAAAACAACAGTGTGACGAGTGATGAGTAAAGGACTAAAGGATAAGCGGGCGTGTGAGGATCAAATTGTAAAAGTCTGATGATGTGTGGTTAGCTTTATGCTGATGACAGTTGGATGGATTGGGGTGGAGATTTACACATACATACATACAAAGACAGTCGTTCAATAGAGGGTAGCGTGGCACAAAACAAAAAAAAGATAACAAATTAAAACATAAATTGTGTAAATATGTCGCGCTACCAAATAGCTGGATAACGGTAACAAATTGCACAGGTATGAGCCGCTGGCATTTACGTAAATGTAATATATGTTTATTTGTGTGTTTAGGATTTGGAGTGCAACAGCGAAGGGAATGAACGTTGAGTGGGTTGTGCTTACGGGAAATGTTGAATAATTCGGCCGTAGTAGTTATGGTATGTATGGTTGGTTGTGTTTGCAGCCTCAACCTGGATGCGGACAGTTTTCAATTAGCTGTTCCTTTAAATTGTACCGTGGCTTTAATAAAAGATGACTGCAGATACATAAACTGAGTAATGCTAATGGATTTTGTTGGCTTATGCGTTTGAAGAATATTTCAATATAAGTATGTATGTATATTAGTGTGGTCCTTAAAAATCAAACTAACGATTTTTTTTTTCAGTCTCACCCCCTCAATCGGTAATACCACGATCACAGATATCACATATCGTCGTTTTGTACTTTAAATGACGATTCCTCTATGGATACTCAAAAAATTAAATTTCATTTAATACCCAAAATGGACACTACTAAAGTCGAAGACAACACATATAAATTTTGGTCCCGATTGCAGTCGGTTAAGACGTTTTCATAGGGTAATCTGGACTTTGACCCCTGTGCGAGACGCCTTAACCGACTCTTATCGGGGTCAAAATTTATATGTGATATCTTCGACTATAGTAGTCTCGATTTTGGGTATTATTTAGATGAAAAAAATTTATTTTAATTTTTTGAGTCTCCATAGAGGAATCAGAACTTTGTCCCCTATGCGATACGACTTCACCATCTCCAATCGGGACCAAAATTTATATGTGATATCTTCGACAATTGTAGCATGGACATAAGGGTTGCGGGTTAGGAAATTAGTTGTAAAAATTTGCTTCCTACATTAAGGACCACTCTAATGTATATGGGGCGTTCCATACCAAAATGGACGGGTTCACACTTCATGTGTTTGATTTGTTTCAAATTTTTAGGGTTGATGGATAAACATAAATAACAAGTAAATATGAAATTTGAGCTTGATTAATATATTTTTAAAAAACATTAGAGCATATAATGGTTTTTCTCTATTAAAAGAAATATTTTTTCTTGAAAAGTTTTTCACATACACATTTTTTGATAAAAAAATTAGTTTTTGAGAATATGCCATCTCAAAAAAAATTTAAAAAAAATCACAATGGTAGCTCTGAGAATTGCGCAATATCTAAGAATAGTATTACGGGGTGCACTCTACAATAATTTGAGTTAAGAATTTTTTTTTACACCGGGTTGAGTAAAATGAGTGCATTACAAGTTTACCAATTTTTATTTTTATTTATTTTTTTAACTTTTGTGAGTATGTATGCAGTTTTGTAGAGTACACCCCGTAATACTATACTTAAATATTGCGCAATACTCAGAGCTACCATTGTGGGTTTTGTCAATTTTTTTTGAGATGGCATATTTTCAGAAACTAATTTTTTTTATCAAAAAATTTGTATGTGAAAAATTTTTCAAGAAAAAATATTTAAAACATATTTCTTTTCATAGAGAATTGTTATACGTTCTCGAGAAATTTGGAAAATTATTAAATCGATTTATTTTTGTTTGTACAGTTTTATATTTGTCCATCTACCCTAAAAATTTGAAAAAAATCAAACACATGAAGTGTGAACCCCGTCCATTTTGGTATGGAACGCCCCATATACATATAAAAACAATGGTGTACGTGGGTAGAGTTAAAAGCAAGTGCCAGCCTACATCCAACTGAGGAGTGGGGCACGCTTAGGCCTGCTAGAGGGATTTTTGATCCTATTTTAGATTGCGCTCATAAAAAATTACAATATTTAAGAACTCAGCACCAACATAAAATATAATTGTTTAATACATTTTCTCCACTTACCTCCGACGCTGGCTTGCCGCCCACCGAAACACATTCAATGTCCACCTTCCGATCCTCCGTCGTGTAGATTACTTCTCCTTGTGTAATTTTCGGCGCTTCTGGTGGCACCAACACTGTTAGAGTCGCAAATGTAGACCGAATTGCTGGCTGACCCTCCGGGCCTGGACTCACTTGACATTGGTAACGCGCATCATCGTCCAACATCACCGGATAAATGTCTAACGAGTAATCGCCCTCCTCATCGCTACCAATCATTGAGTAACGCTCAAAACCGCCCAAATCACGTGAGGTGCCCAAACCAAAATCATCTTTGGTCCATTGTAGCACACCCTGTTTATTGATAACGCGACATGGCAACGTCACACGTGCACCCACCACAGCCGATTGGTCTTGTGGTTCCATGGCGAATCGTTGATTCTGATAAGCGCCATAATAGGAAGATGAGGACGAGACTGATGGCAACGAGACAGAATATGCGACATCGTCGAGCGCCACAACGTCGCTGCCTACAATGTCAACGCTTGACAGGTGTTTAGCCTGCGTTACGCTGATCGACGACGACGTGGCGATGGTGAGGAGAACGATGATTTTGAGTGGCAGCAGCAATTGCTGTAAGCTACGCAGGTGGTTGAGTACAGACATTGACGTTGTCGTTGTAGCTACAGGTGAGCAAAATCTTGCTTTGGTAAATGGAGTTGAAATGTACGCGTTGTACTGCATGACGGATGCGTTTGCTGTGAAGTTATGGCTGTTTAAGAAAAGGTATATTTGTTGTTGGTTGTGTCGTTGCCACTTCAAAAGCGTTGGCGTGACGTGGCGCAAAATGTTTGATGGATGCGTACGGATTTATTCTTGTTCGAATGCTGCAATGGAAAGAGTGAAAAGAAAATGAAAGGAAATTGTTAGCAAAGCGAAAACTTCATAATTTTATTATGAATATTGTATGCAGCGTTGCCATTTTAGCCGTTTTCCGGCTAGATTTAGCCGGTATTGATAGCAACTAGCCGGAGAAAATTCGATCTAGCCGGCAGCCGATTTGTTAGCCGGTTTGTAAAAAAAAGTTAGCCGTTTTTAGCCGATTTTACTATTTGCCTAATTTTCAGGTGCAAAAAGTAAACAAGTTGTTCGAAGGCAATAATGCAGACCCAATGAAGATTTTTAATGAACTCAATGTTTTACTTTCGCATCTATGCTCCCTAGTGGTTATTAGCGCGGACACATTTGATCCTATATGCTCCCCGTTGGAACCATACCTTGCTCCATTTCCTCAGTTTTATCACAGTTTTGAAGAGTATTTAAAAACAAAAGTAAGCACAAACGCTTTTGACCACGAAGCCGAGAAAAAAAATTCGAGAAAATGGTCGCTATTTTATTATCACTTTAATAAAGGAATTACGCCCAACGCCTCCCTACAAATATTGCCACACTAAAAAAATTGACTTTTTTCGGTTGGAAATGTATTAAGAGTAATTAAACCAAAAGTATTTGTTCAACTACAGCAACAAAAACACAAATATAATGCCGACGAAATAACATCCAACGGCAACGGTTAACGTTACATACCTTGAGTAATTTAGACTCAACTGTAAAATTTTGGGCCGAAGTTTATCAATTTCGAAATGCCCTAGGAGAAAACCCTTTTTCTGACCTTTCCAACCTAGTTTTTAGTTTTCTTGTTTTGCCTATAAGTAATGCAGAAGTAGAGCGAATATTTAGTTCAATGAATATAATAAAAACTAAGCAAAGAAATCCAATGTGCGTTAAAACGTTAAACGCTATTTTATATATAAGATACGGTTTAAAACGTGAAAAAAATGCTGCCATAATTTTACTGTAGATGACGATCTCTTAAAATTAATGAATTCAGGTGATATATAAAATAGTGATTCATTTGATGATGAGGAATATACACTCGATATAAATTAATGGTGTTAACTAGTCTTTCGTTTCTTGCGATTTATTTAAATAAAGCATGTGAATTTTCACTAAAACATTTTAGCCGTTTTTAGCCGCTTTTTTTTGCCAATCTAGCCGGTCGGTCCAAAAAGTTCTGGCAACACTGATTGTATGGGTAAAAAATTTTTGGGAACGCATTACAGATATTAAAGAGTGCTGAAAATGAAAGCATAAAATTTCGCGCTGTAGGTAGTTGAAAAAAAAACACCAAAAAATATGCAATAATTGTTTAAGAAAAAGCACGACTCCAGAAAAGATGGGTGCATTCCAAAACGTCAAAATATAAAGAATCAGTCTCTTTTAAATCCACACATCAGGACTGCAGCCAATGTAAAGATTCGTGCTTAAACTATCTTCCGACGAAATACATGACGGTATAACCGAGAGAGGAACGGTTCCAGAAGATAGGAAATTTAGTTGGGGTTAAAGTCTCGCGCTGTTCAATCTGAGGTTAGGCGTCTACCCCGGAAAACAAGATGTTTCTAGAAAAAAAAAAACCAAGGAAACTTGCAGATTTCTTCTTTTGTAGTGCTGCATAAGTAATTAATGCTTTACAGCTCTATATACAAAGTACAGCGCTACTTACTCGCTTACTAGCTTTACAGTGCGAATCCGCTCTATACCGTTCGCCAGCTCAATTGTGTCTCTCATTGAAATAATTCGACTAAATTTTGATTGTTAAAATATGCCACATTAAGGTCAAAGAGGCGCAACATGAAATCTTAAAAAGAAGCGACCTTGAGATTTCGCGACTTTCCATACTTTTCGAGTTTGCTGGCCATCGAAATCTACAGTAGCGGCTTGTAAGATATCAACAGTGCATTTAATCGAACCCAGTTTCCGGATGTGAATCGTTGGCGAAAAAATTGCAATCCAGGCAACTTTGAACGAGACTTGAAAACTGAATTACTTACGGCAACAGTCTGCGAAGAAGGTATTTAAGGAAACCCAAAAAAGTGTTTGTTATTTATGGCCTTATAACAATTACCTACATATATTCAACACTTTTATTGAGCTTCTAATGAAATTTTGTTTATGTTTTTTTTGCAAGCTCAATAAAATTGTTTAACGAAACAAAGTTAAGTTTCACAAACGGTGGCAAAGTCTATAGTGTTTCGTGGTGTTAGAAAGGAATATTTTATCATAAAATCGTCTAATATGGCCGAAAAATTGATACGGATCTCTGCTGTTCACAAATACTGCGGGTGAAACAGGCGATGGCATACCATCAAACAATTAAATTAAATAACTGAAATTATATATTTAGTAAAATTAAAAGATAGGAACATAGTTTTTTAGTAACAGAGCAGAAATTGAAAGTAGCTGGCTGGGAAGTTTAGATAATGCCAGCTATTGTCTGGACTTCACCCCACATCTATTTAACCACCAAAAAGGTTTACGAAAATCGTTTAGTTTTCACGCAAGGAACTCAAAAGATCTACAGTGACGCAAGTATGATTTAAAAGTGTCAAAAGGTTTCTAAGATTTACGGCAGTTAGACCGATTTGAAAATACCGCCAGAAATCTTAATATTTTTCGCATATGAACATACATACAAACCTAAAAATTAATTACATAACTAGAGTTTGAATTTTTTCTGAATTAGTTCACTTCAAAACGATGAAAGAAAACGAAATAATTTTTTCTTCAAGCAATTTTAATGAATTTTCCTCTGTTCGCTATGCATGCAATTAATTTTGGGCTTTCTCATAACAAACAAAGTTCAGCCAACAATTTTACCAGCAATTTACACCGGAAAGCCATAAAAGGTAGCACAAATTAGACATTTCGTAAGTGGGCAACACAAATATGAATATGAAAGCAAATCGTGGGAAAATGTATACAAATACACAAAAATAAATACGATTTTACACAAACACGACTGGTTTGCCGAGTGTGCGAGTATTTATGGATACGGTGTACATACTTATCGATTTAAGTGTAATCAAAACTTTTCCTGCATTACATTTAATTACTACACGTACGAGTACATATATACACGCATACATTTAAGCATACAAACATTCACCCCACTAGAATTAAGGCTAAGGGCGCAGCGTGAGATTCCATATACACAAAGCCAGCCGGAGTCGAAGTGCAAATGCCTGAAAGCAGACTACAGCCAACGCCGTGAACGCATTGAAAATTTAAAAATTTGCATACAAATTTGCTGCGCGTTAAGTAAAAGGCAACAACCAAGCATTCAAAATACCAAATACATTAAAGCCATTCTGTAACTTTGCTTTCGACGCTCAACGCATTGGGAAGAGCCCAAGGAGGTGTGCAGCCAAAGGCAATCCACTGAGCATAAAATGCACACCAGTTCAGTATTTCACTGCATTTTTGCAACCAGTGACAGTGCGCATTTGTGTGGCGCCTCAAAGAGTAGTGGCGGCGGTAGTGGTGGTCTCGTGATGAAAGCACCGGAACCATGG